AGCAGGCTGTTGGCGAGTTTGCCTCTATAGCAAATGCTAATCCCAGTTTGCGATCGCAATGAATCAATGAAATGTGGAGAAATTAACTGCCACTGGCGGAGTCGAACCCCCAAGTTTTAGCTTTAGAGCAGCGCTAGTTGCCAACACGTCTTGGCCACAAACACAGTGAAGCACTAATTAATCAGAATATCGCAGTAATTGATAGTTATATGCTTAGTTATTATTCAGGAAGAATTTGACAATGTACAACTGAAATCGGGTGCAAAAGGTGTGCTGTCGTTTATCGCGCAAGCACGAGATTGGGAGACGGAAGGTGAATACATACGAGCAATTCAGTGCTATATGAAAGCTAAGGAGTCCGATATGGCCGATGCTGAAATGATCGTTGACGCCCTGCAACGGGTACTTTTTTTGTTGATTTTGGAATCCAACATCTATATTAATGCAGACGAACTAGTCTTTGTGGGACGTAGAAGCCGGTGGTGCAACTGAAAACACGTCACGATTCGAAAAGCTGATAGAACGGAAATGAGAAGTTCGATTCCCTTCCAGTCTGTATCCTCTGCAATCTGCTCAGGACAGATAATCGTGCAAAAAACAAGTGCTTTGCGTCAGTTCCCAAATGCGAGTTGCTTGTCATTTTATCATTTTCTATAATTGTGGCCTGTTTGCAGCTGATACTTATGAGACGCGTTAATATTCACAAAAACACAACCCTCATAATTGTTTCAGAAATAATAAGGACTTACGGAAGCATTACAGAAAACGCAGGGTAGGGACAAACGGAGGAATGCCTTGCGTGTGGTCAGTTAACATTTCCAGGCAGGTGATTTGGCAATAAAATTTCTCTCTGATGACGATGCTTCTGCGGTGATAGATGAAATCGCGGAACGTTTCATCAGTCTCAAAAGGTTATTGCAGAACTCTTCTTATTTCAGTTTATTAATTAATTCATCAAAAAAACTGTTTCTCAAAAATTTTTCCTGTAAGTCTTTGGCCTAAACGAATTATTTTGTTAGTTGGAGGAAATTTACGTTCCCGAAACTGAGAGGAATAATGTGTAATTTATTGCTTAGTAGACGGCGCTTTCACAAAACCGCTGAGCTTCAGAATTGTTCAATACGTCACTCCCACTTGCGTAATGCAACACATTGTCCAGATCACTAACTCCAAAATCATTTGGGACTGTTTTACTGACTTTTAACAAATCAGCCGGATAAAACGAATGTCAGGATCGCCAGAACACGGATTACCGGTATGCAGT